GAGCCTGAGAGAGCAGCCGCGTGCAGCAGGCAGCCGCCCCGGCACAACGCGATCGGCCAACTTCGGGGAAGCATTTTGTTACTTAACGGAGACATCCTGGCAACCAAAACCCGAGCAGCAAACTGCAGCGAGCGCCTTGAGAAGAGCCAAGCGTCTAACCCGAGCACGGATCCTCCGGGGATCGGAGGACACCTTCATAGAAAGAAGGAGCACGCAATAACTCCGAGGATGAACTTTGGCAGAACGGGCAGGATATAACGCGATTTATGCAAAGGGGAGTTGTGCAAGGTCCCCCCCGCGCAGCCCCGTCAGCGCACCAAGACCCGGCCACCGCAACCGCTCCTTGGAACAGCCGGTGTCCTCTCTCCCTTCCAATGCACTTCAACTTCTGACCTTCATCCCCGCTGAGCCATTCACCCCCGGCACCCCCCAGCTCCTCCAGCTCGCAGGGCTCGCACAGAGGCGTCCTCCTGCCTCTCGTGTCGCCGGGGCCAGATTAGGTAATCACGAGAGTTTCTTCTGGCTTCGCCACTTCTAAATCTACATCAGGTCTTACTCTAATCCCCCTCTTCTCCCGAGCAAAGATGGACAAGCTGAGGTGTTTTCACACTGCAAACACCAGTCCCCCAGAGATAAGAACAAATCCCACCAAACCGGCTTTCACTTCCAGCCCATACCGGCTGCGAGCCAGGTTTCTGCAGGCGACCAGATAACCTAAATCCCCCCAGTGCCACCGGGATCCCCCCCTGGAGACAGTCACTGGGGCTGCGACCCCCTCCACGGCAGCTCCGGTCCCCGCGACCCCGCCGGTTACGGAGCGGTCCGGCACGCCGGCAGCTGCCAGCACCCAGATCTAGGCCAGCCCCATGCCGCCTCCCCACGGACATTTCATGGCTTCACGTCTGGAACTCAGCCTGGGTTTAATCTTAACGCACACTGATAAACGATAGCGCCGGACTTGGCAAGGCGCACGGCCGACATCACCTGGGGTGTTAAATATCGCGCTGCTTCCAGTCGCAGGTTCGGCATCCCGGAGAGCGGGACTAAACCACCCGTTTCGTGGGCACAGCCAGGAGCCCTAAAGGAACGACCAACCTCCCCGAGACCTCTCGGCACAGGGACCGCGCAGCCATCGCTGGAAACACGTTTTCCTTTCAGCGTGCAGCAAGGCTTGAAATTTCACCTACCGCTGGCGTGCCGGCAGCCACCCACCAGATCAGCAGGGGAAGGCACAAGCGCATAAACTTCAGCCTAAACTTCCAAGGCTCAGGCTAGGTTTTTTAAATTAGCTGTTTATTATGCCATGGGCTTTAACACTTCTCAGATAGTTAATGAAACATGCTGATGTTCTGAATCCTGTTCCTCAGTGCTTAATCTGCGATGGCGACAGCAGCACAGCCTCGGGCAAAGCAACCGAGCACAGGGCAGCTTATACCCAGAGGACGAGACTGAGCACCTTAAAACATTAGCAACCCAAAATAGCTGGCAAAAATCAAGATCAGACATACCAGATATGTAAGATCGTCCATTACAGTCTTCTATATCCATCTTTAAGGTACTTTGCTGAAAGAGAAAGCAGAGCTCAGTCAGAGTTAGCCTCCAGAAGCTGCTCGGGCTCTCCTCCAGTAAAACTGCCCAACAGCTTCTCGGAGCAGACGAGTTACTCACCCCACGCTCCTTTAACGCTGCTTTGCAGCCCTGGGCTTAACACCGTCAACACCGACTTCACCATCAGCCCCCCTCGACTACACCGATCCTCCCCACCCGAGTGGCGCTTTCCAGGCCCTTTCCAAGAGGAAAGAGCACGCCAACGCCAGCAGCAAGCGGTGGTCCCGGCAGCGAAGCTGCGACGCTGTGGGTGGACGAACGCCACGGTAAACACGGAGGGTTTCATCCCTCCGCACGCAGACCACCACCGCCGCAGCTCCGCGGCGCGCACGGGAAACGGCGTTGGCCCTTAAAGCCAAAGCTGGGACACTCGGAGCGGGCAGAGATGGGAGAAGAGCAGCTGCCAGCTCCCCTGGGACAGCCGAGAGCTGGAGAGTCAGCGGCCCAGACGGACAGACGGCCACTGCCGCAGCCCCGGGCAGCGAGGTGTGCCGGCAATTCGCTTCTCCCTCTCCGGCGAGGGGCCGCTGCTGGGAACCGAACTGCTTCTCCCACCCCTGCTCGCGCCCGACGTGGCAGCGGGGAGATGAAGCCTCGAGCGCGGGACGCGCGTAGCCAAAGCACTCGGCTTCATTTTATCAATGAAAAGAGTCGGGGTCCCGGGCAACGGGACCGAACGCTAACGCAGCACGCTGTGCCGAGCAGCCTCGCAACAGCCGTTCCGAGGGCCACACCAAAATAAAAGGGGGGTCTGCCTTATATTTTGCTGCTCAGCACCCCACGGAGATAATGAACGTTTTATACATTCAAATGGCTTTTATTTGTCAATTACACTGGCTGTTTAAAAAACAAAATGAGCCCAGTTTTAGAAACAGGAGTTTTGCTGTTAGAGCTGGCTCTAATTGGCAGTTGATAGGGTCGGAAACGCAGCGTTTGCTGCAGAGAACAATTTAAAAAAAAGTGATAATTTGTGGAGATGAATCGTCTCCTCGAAAAGGAAAATCAACGTGATTTGCAGAGCGTGAGCACACACAAGCAGCAGCAACGCTGCTCTTTTCCCCCTGTTTCTCGAGCAGCCGGCACGCTGCAGACGGCGAGGCTTTCTGGGGGACCCTGGTACCTTTGCCGAGCTGAAAGAAATCGGTCGCTCCCTTCTGACAGTGCCCCTTTTAAAAGCAGGTTTTTAACAATAACCGCGTCTTGAACAAACCGAGTTGTACGAGTCTTGCTCCCGGCAACGCACCACTCCAGATAAGTACAGATGTGGACAAGGCACATTAGGCCGGGCTTATCACCCCATCGGACCCGACTACTTGCTTGACGTTCATTAAGAAGAAACGCTCTCGCCGTGCTCCACTTAACTGCAGGCCTCACACGGGGGCTCGCTGGTTTTGGGGAGGCTTTCACCAGCTGGGCGCCAGTTTACACCCAGTCCAGCCCAGCAGTACCCTCCGGCAGGTCCCACCCAGGGTCTTTTGCCAG